CGTGCTCCCAAGGAGAGGCTGCCAGCTCCAGGTGCTGCCCAGCTTTTACACCCCAGTTTGGCCAGCAGCCTGCTTGCTGCCTGGGCACTGCCCCACATCTGCTCACAGGGGTCTGGGTGCCCACAGAACGTCCACTGAGCTCCAGTTAACCTCTCACTTCTCTATGGGAAATCTGCAAGGAACTATTCATTACAGCTACCCACACACACCACACCCTGCTTCTTTACAGACACCTATCCATTAACAAAAATAACAATAAAAAAGCCCCCTAGGGAAATGTACTTCTGAGAACCTGTTTTGCTAACATGCTGTCACTGTGAGACATACATAATTAACAAAAGCTATGCCATGGCAGGTTTTTTTTACTATTACACGTTCTGTCAGAGGCAGCATCTCATTTACGAAAGCAGGTATTTGGTAAAGCATTAATTGTGAAGTTGAGGGTTGCAGGCTAATGCCCTTTTCCTAGGCAGCTGACAGTATGTACCCTGGCAATCTCTTTTACAACCCTCTCACACTGCTTTTGGAACAGTATCATTAGCAGAGAGATGAAGTTTTAACACAGCTGCTGCATGTCTGGCATTCTTTTTTTTTAAGACACAACACAGTCTCTTAAGAGTTTCCAGCTACTAAACTAGATCAATCATCAACAGAAAAGAGAAAAAAAAAAAAGTGAAGCAAAGTATATTTCAAACTCCAAATGTAAACAGAATTTGGGTCTTCTCTGCAATTTTTACTTTGAATTAGCATGCCCTGCTTATGCTTTCATGTTTTTAACGGATAAAACTGTAGATTATTCTCCAACTCCTTTTAGGGTTTTTTGGTTTTTGTTCTTGTTTGGGGTTTCACAATATGAGAATTGAAGGTTATTGTACCAAAATAAGACAGATGCATTATATAAAGTTGCCAGTGTTGTCATGTAGAGGAACTGGAAAGTCCCAAAGCCATTGCTTACAAAAGAAAGTTCAATTATGTTCCTAATTGAAAGCACAGACTCAAAAAATGACTGCAGGTTTCGTTAGGCAGGAAACAGTCACGGAGGTTTGAACTTTAAATCGCAATTAGCTGAACTTTCTGTCTGACTGGAAAGATTCTCCAAGGAAAACCCCTCTTTTCCTCAGCTGCCACTTCACATTTCTGCCTGCAGACTCATTCATAGCATGAGCAGCTCTGCCGTCCTTGGGCGGGGGCAGCTCCGGCAGCCGCGCAAGGGAGGGAAATCACAGCCAGCTGCTACTGATATTGCTGCCGAGCACTGGGGGAGGAAATGATAAACACACAGCACCGACACAGCCCTCTCTGCCACTGCTATTAGCAGCACCCAGCATGGCCGCTGATAATTACAGTGTCTGATAGCTTTGAAATTATTATTGCCTCTCTGGGAGGGAGAGATGGCTGTCTGTTAAGAGATGATGGACTCCTGGAAAATGACCAGCAGCTACACCAAACTGGCTTCCCGCCCACAGTTGTGGATAACACACAGAGAATGGTCCAAACCACCAGGTTTATCACACAGAAACCCTGACAGGTAAAGGCAAAGGACAAACTAGACTGTGGATGTGTTCTGCTTTCTAGCAAGTTGGAAGCTTCCATTTCTCTATTTTAAGAATTCAGTTTAATGCTGACAAATTGAATCATCATGCTCCCAGATGCCAGCTGATTCTAAAATATGGCGTGTTTTGGACACCATTAATTGTTCCAATGCAATGTTGCATTGTTTTCAAAGCAGGCAAGATTATTGTGATGGGTCATGTTTGTTTCACAATTATCCTCTCTGTGAAGTTATATTTCACAAATAACTATGTACATTTAGCCTTGGTCCTGGAAAACCCAACTTTATAGGCGAGTTTTGCAGAACTCCTTCCCTTGCTCTCTCACATAGTATTCTCTTTAAAATAAAAGACCAAACAGTGATATATGAAGGGGAGAATTATCGTCTTCCATATTGACTGTATTTTCAAACACTCACCCCTTAGTTCTGGAACAAAAATGTGATGCAAGAAGACCAGAAAGCAGATGGAGAAGCCTTTTGACAGCATTTGGAACATCAAAAACTTTTAAATTCCTTAACTGATTTACCCTCTTCTTATAAAGGAACTCTACATTGGTTTATCTCTGCTTCTGTACAATGTGTTTTACTACCAGTCAACTAAATTCAGAACTAGTACTATCAAATATTATCACATCTTTTCAACAGGTATTTAGGAGTAATGAGCTCATGATTCTCTCTGGTGTTTATCTGTCTATCAGCATGTCGTGATGTCTCCGACTCCTGGCACATTCTTGATACAGTCAAACCTCATGCCTGTTCAGGTGATAGATGAATAACTGCAATATTCACACTATCTTCAATTCAAGCCTATAAAAGTCATGGGAACTCTTCAGGAAAGAAAGATACATCACATATGGATGAACATTTTGTTTAACCTTGGCTAGGGCTACCAGTGGTTTTAAAAGCATTTACTTTAAAAAGTTTTTCCTCAATTGTACAATGCTATCTGTCCTCATTAAGCCTTTCTCTGACTTCCTATTTTCAAGGTAAAGGCTCTTCATTGTGGAGAACACCAGTACCTAAAGAATCTTCAAGCATTTCTCCAAAGACTGCAAAACAATCCCCTGCCATGCTTTCTTGGCTCTGTGTGTGCCAGTGTTTCCAGGACAGCTCCAGAACCCTTCCACTAAACAATGATGGAAAGTTCAAGTGAACTCTTAATAAAGTCTAGTTACTTTGCAGCTTTGGGAAACTGCCAAGATACACACTGTAAGGACTGAGTGAAAATAATCTAGCACAAAGAGCTTCTTCAAACTGCTTTATTTACAAATTTACAGGACAGATATGCAAACCAAGGGCCAGGCAGGTCTCTTCCTTTGTGACTAACCAGGAGCTGCAGGAGCCCTGTCTCAGAGCCTTACTTTGGAATGGGCTCTGGAAACCTCTCCAGTGCTAACAGGCAAGCTCTGTCCTCCCACAGGCAGACTCATTCTGCCTCCTTCCATTTCATCCTTACCACTACTACTTCTCTTCCAGTTTCTTCCAAGTTTGGGGGTCAAAATTCTAGGACTTGCTTTGTGTTAATCAAGGAAAACTTTGAGAAAAACATTTCTACAAGTACATGATGCTTGCAGGAGAAAATCTGCTCAGAACACATCATTAACCAAGATGACAGCATCTATATCCTCCAGGATCCAGACTCCTTAGACAAGTGATGTCAACACCAAGAGTGAGAAACTCATCAGTGACAATATAGACAAAACACCACAGAAATCAGGATGAGTAAGTTTTTCAGCTTTCTCTGTATCTCATTTTTCCTTCTGAAATCACATTATGAGTAATTCCAGGTTCTCTTTAATTCCATAAAATTCTGTACTAAAAGAATTAAAATTCCAGTTCAGGAGTTTCCCAACAGCAATAGACATCAGTCTATGATACACAGCAAAATCACTGGTTAAAAATAGAAAACAACACCATCAACTGCTGTTTTGAAATCATTACTGACTACAAAGTCATGCTGGAATGTACTAGATACCAATTCAAATATACTGTAGCTATATTCTAATACCTTCCTAAGCCAGTAAAGAAACTTCCCTGGAGGGCATATGTGAAGTTTGACACACTTTTGGTAACTATGCCGAGGGCTCAATAATGGGGCTTTCTGTCTCACTGTGAAAACACATCACTCCCAGAGGCAGGGCAGACCCTGCTCTCTAGGACACTCCAGGCAGCTCATAGGAGTCAAAATCAGTCGAGCAGTTATAATATTTATATAGTGCACAGACGTGGACTGCCAAGGATTTAACACATCTTAGACATCCCTTATTTGCCTACAGTAGCCCTATCCTTTCTCTTAAGGCTTTGTCTGTATACCTGATCTTAGCCAGAGCATTTAGGTACAATGGCACAGGATTTTAGACAGAAAAGCTACGAGACTGCTTCAGCTATCACAGAAGCACTGGGAACTTGTTCCCCCTGACACACCCATTCCCAGCCTGGCAGAGCTGCAACCATTAACAGAAGTATCCCCTGCTGCTCAAGCAAATGAGACACATATTTACTATACACACAGCCCTTGGGTGACAATGGCCATGAAAAATGCATTTTGCATTTTGTTCGACTCTGGAACTGATGAGTACAAAAACAATATAGAAGCACAACTGTTATCCCTAACCACAAAATGCCTCGAGGCAGTTGCAGCCACAGTGAGAGTCTGCTAAAAGTATGATCATTCCCCTAAAACATGGTTGAGCCTCCACCATGTAAAGTTTCAAAAGCTTTTTTTATTCACTTCGGACATAAATTACTTTTTTTCCTGTGTATTAACCTTAGATTTTTAAATACAAATATTTGAAGCAGATAACCAAGCTGCAGGAAGGTAAGTGATACACAACTGAACTTTGGCACTTCTAACCCCCTTTGTTCCAAAAGCTCATCAGTCAGCCCCAGAGAGACCTTACAAAGTCAGAAGGAAGCATCCTGGGCATAAAAGCTCTCCAAATTTCAGCAGAGATCCCTGCAGTTTTTCTCCTGCTCAGCAAGGCTGTGCCCAAATGCAGTTTGTTTCAGCTGTTGGTTCAGCTGATGTAAACTCCAGAGTGCAGCTGTAAGCTGGGGGGGCTCACCCCCTTCCTTCCACCCCCTTTTCGCTGCAATCCGGAGGGGAGGAGGGAGAACAAATTGCGTTTGGAACAGCAGTCACATTGTCGAACTGAGCTTCACCAGAGACATTCTGAATTCCCTAATATACTTCCGTTCTTGTTTAAACTTCATTCTTTAATGTTCTGCAATTCACTTTTTACAGACTTGGAATTGCCCTTTACAAGCAATACACAGCTTTCCGTGACTGTACAGACCAGCACAAATGAGATTACACTTCTGAAACATCTCTGATAACACTTGAAAAATAAAAGTTGCAAGAAAGCTGTTCGCTGGTCTAGCAGAAGCACACTTGCTGTCTGAAGCAATAACTAACAATCATAAGCATTTTCATTCATAAAAATCTTACCTGTTTCTGCTAGACAGAGCTTCAGCAAACATAATCCAAAAACTGTCCATAAGGAGAAGCTGGCCATTGTTTTCTTGGAGCTGTTTTGCAAAATCCAGAGATCCTTGGAAGCTGCAGCAAGAAGAACAGCCCCGACGCTTGTTAAGCCTGCAGTCAATGAGTCTGAAGTTTGCTGCACTTTTTATTCTGATTCAAAGGAACTGAAGTAATGACATAACTGGGAGGGGAAAGCTCCATCAAAAGTCACACCCATATTGCAACAAAAGTTACCCAGCAGCAGAAGAAGGGGGAGTGGAAGGAGAGCTAGGACTGACTAAGCAGGCACACTTGAGTTTTAAAGAGCCACTAAACCTTCTCTTCTTACACTAGTCTAGTCAAAAGTTATACTTAGTGTGCTTGTAGGAAAAATTGTGTAATCTCTCCTGAGTTCTCTCAGAAATGCACTGTTTGTTATAAGCTTTTCATCCTGCATTTTAAAATCTCTTCATTATTGCAAACCAAGTGAACATAAAGGCACTAGAGTTTCTAAAACCTGTTAAAGCATCTATAACAGCCTAGATATTTCCAAAAAATATTTTGCTTATTTATTCCTATGTCACCGTTTTCTCTTTGTGTGGCTCAGTTAAGAGCAAGTAAAATGCCTGCTCTGCAGTGAAGCTTTCTGCAATGTTTTTGCTCACTGCGGGAGGATAACATCATGCAGAAGGTAAGTAGAGGCTGTTCAGTTTCCCACAGCCCATTCTACTCTGCACAGGCTGCTCCAAGAAGACTAATAAATGAGCAAAAGTAGTGAATAATTCCAGTGCCAGAAATGAGTGATACTGAGGACTAAGGCTGATCCTTTATTCTGCTGATGGCATAAGGTACAGAAGGAATTTTTCCTCCTATTCCCAATGCAGAAAGCAGAGAAACAGGATAAAAAGGTACAAGGTCTTTGAGATTCAGACAAGGTCTCAGTTCCTGAGGGACAGATGTTCATTGCAGTGTGTGGTTTTGTTTGGCTCTTCATGAAACCCCTGGTGAAAACCCCAAGGCCTCTGCAGATAAGCAAAAGGCTTGTCTCTTGTGTGCCTCGGAGATTTCCCGTGGTGTCTCCACACACTGGCTTCTCTTTGGAGCTGGAGAATTGGAACAGCAGTTCCTGTGCCATGTCATGAGGGGCTGGTCAGGGATCACCAAAGCCAGCACTTCTCACCTTTAACAACAGCCAGAAATGCCCTGATTTCAGTTTCCTTTGCCAAATCTGGAATGAATAGTCCTATATCAGATTACCATTTTGTCGATCTTCCCACTTGAAAGAAGTTTTTCATTAATTTAACCTCCGTTAGCACAAACAATGGAAAAGTACAGACAAGTCTCTCCAGTCACAGGCACAAGAAGGTCACACTAAGAGGTTTTCAGGACTTTGCCCTTTTTTTGCCTTTTGACTTAGAGATGGCTGGCTATCCTTTCCTAAACCAACCAAATTTTTAGCAACAGGTTCCAACAGGCTTTTCCTACAGGTCTAGACTATCTGATGGGACAAAGTTAAAGTAAAAATCTTTCCTTTAAACATAGGGAATCTTTTTATTACAAAGCTAACAACTTTGAAATTATGGATAAAACTCATTTTCTTTAGTAAATATGCTACTTTTTTTAAAAAGAAATTACTTTAAAAGCAATTAAAAAGCAATCTCCTTTATACCTTATTGTCTAAAGTGGAAATTGTAATAGTTCTGTAAAATCCTGGACATTTATAAATGTTTTGGCATCAAAATCCATTAATAAAGTTTAGTGGGATTTCAAGATGCTGGCACATTGTTAATGAATGTTTTAAAGTTACTAAGTATATCTTGTTCTTGCTAAGTTATTTTTAAAATTCACGTCCTATGGATTAAACAGAATAATTAAACATTTAATTAAAATTCAGGAAATTTTGAGTCCTATTTTTGATTAACATAAATTGCCTCTTCATTAATACCCGATATTCATAATGATACAAAATTTTAAAGAATAAAACGTTTTCTTTGGCACAGATAAAGGGAGAATAACGTCCATTTTAGGGATAGAGGCAGAGTCTTAGGTAACTAGGAGTGAAAATTCCTAGTCTCTTCATGGTCTGAAGTTTCTAATTCTAGCCTTTCTGATACCTGAATATGGAAAGGTTATTTTCTAGATACTAAAATATTACTTGTTATTCATCTCAGTCTTTTCAATACTTCTGCATGTGTTCAGCAAGGGTGGGTGGTATTCTGCTTTGGAAAGACTCTCTTGGTTGCTGCCCTGAAAAATTGGGCTAAGATTAGACACATTTAGACCACGTGCATGGAGGTGCTAGTACCTAATGCAAAAGGAAAAGACAGATCTACACAAGAAAAGTAATTGATAACATTACATCATTTCATGTGATAAACCCCAAAACCAGTTCATGAGCTGTTTGTATGTGACGTGTGAGTTTGGCCATTCCTCGTGCCACCAGCCTGCCTGCATGGCAGCCTAGAACACACATTCCAACAAAAAAATGACACAAAAAAATTCCTGCTTTCCCAAACAAACATGGTCAGCTTGTGCCAGTCTCAGGTAGCCAGCAGTCCAAATTTAGCCTGGCTGCAGGGCACAATGATGCTCAGAGAATTTAGTCCAAGCAGATGTACGACCCTGGAAAAACTGTTGGGTTTGGGGGTTTGTTTTTTGGGTTTGTTATGGTTTTGTTTGGGGGATTTCTCTGTGAGAAATATGTAACTTCTCCTTTCTTTTGGGAAGACCTTATTACCTACGAACAGAAAAATCCTGACGCAAATCTTCAGCTGAAGAAATGCAGCAGAGCATCCCTTTTTAGCCTGTCAGTACAGTTAAATATCCGAGATCTGGAATTTGCTTACTTCCTGGGCAACAAGAAGCTACTGGCACGAAAAATTTGTAAAATTATTTAATGAATTAAGTTTTCAAAAGAGAATGAAACAATAAGATTGAAAAAGGATGAAAGCTCATAATTTAAAATAGTATTTTTCTATGATGCCTTTGATACAGTGAATACTGAATCTGTGATGGTAAAATATAGCACAGGAACACCAAAGTAACTAATTTGTGATTGTATCACATATGTGAACTGTAGGCAGCACTAATTAATTTTGATAAAAATCCTAATAGGGAGTACATATGTTGGAGTCCTAGAAACATATGCATGGCTCACAATGATATAAAAAGTTGAGTTTTTTGCAGGAATTCACATACAGGATGAAATTCTGGCCTAGCTAAATTGAAAGACCAAAATTCCACTGAACTCAGTGGCACAGCCTCTCCCTAAAATGAATATTTAGATTTTGTTTTGTGGACAGACAAGAAAATGGATGTACCTGAATGAACCTGTACTTCTGATGGATAAAAAATGTATCAATGGAGACTGATTTCACTATTGAATGGGAGAAATTGAAAGAAGGGTAGAATGGAACACTGTTTCTGTGAAAATAGCTGGCATTTGTCTTCTGAAAGACAAATTTCTAAAATTTTTAAAAAAACAGCTCCTGATTTTAATTTTTTTTCTATTATCAGCAGAAACACTGTTTTTTAAATTAAAAAATAATTTTCTGAGCATAATTTTGTGACTATTTCAAGCTTGTTATGGGGAGTTAAACAGCAATTGGTCTTAGTGAATATAGAAAGCACAAATGTCATTAGGTAGTTCTGGTCATGGCTGTGTATATTTTGTGTAGAATACACAGTGATCTGTGAGACTGGCTGAAAATCAGATTTGGGGGAGTAGGGAGGATTTCATACCCACTTATCTGTAATATCAATAAAATATGCTATTTTTAATAAGATTTCCTCTATGTCCCTAGATTGCAATCTAGTTTCCTGCATTTCAGACTGCATTCAATTTCAGAGTAGATTTAATTTTCATTATCAATCCTGAAAACAGGTTTTGTAATGGCAACGGTTGAAAATGCTCCAGTGTGGCAAATCTTGAAGTGCACACTTTTCCTGGGCTCTGAGTGCTGAAGGGAAGGCAGAAGAAGAGCCTGTGCTGGTTGAAGCAAGAAAAGCTGCTCTTGTGGCTGGAGGGCAAAGCACTCCCTTGGGAAGTTGAGCGCCCGGTTCTACTCCCATGGAGCTTTTGTTCCTGGATGTAATTTACAGCCTGTGTCCTGCAGAGAGTTAGGAAGATGAACAATGGCTCCTAGTTGTTTACTCCTGAAAAAAGCAGCAACCCAGATTGGCACCTACAGTGTGGATTCATCAGCCTGTTTTACTGGTTTGCCCCAGATCCCTAAACAACTCACTAATCCAAGGCAGGCAGAAGCCTCCAGAGCCTGAGCTGCCTTTAAGGAATTCTGTCGGACTATGAGGCCCCACCATGGTTCCTGTTCCCAGCACCACCGCAGCAGTGCACGCCATCCCTGGCTGTCCCTCGTGTGCCAGCACTGCACAGGCAGCAAATCACTCCCAAGCCCCACACACAGCTCCAGCACCACGTTCCCCCTCGGCTGCTGGTGGGGATGGAGCTGGGAAGTGCCCCCAGCAGGGCCACCAGCTGTCCCAGGGACACAGAGCACATTGGTGACCCACTGAGCCAGCAGCAGCCGCGGAGCCGGGTGTGGGGGAACACGGGAAACCGAGGGGAGAAGGGCACACTCTGGTTCCCTGCAGGTGATTTCTGTCTGTCTCTGCCCCTCCTTCTCCTGGCTGGCCTTCCCAGCACACACCGTGCAAGAAGTGCCTGGAACTGATGCATCCAAGCAAAAGAAATGAAAGTGGGAACGCAGAACGCTGAGCGTGAGCTGCCCTCTTTGTGCTCAGCATTCTGCATTCCCACTTTCATTTCTTTTGTTTGCAGTTATACAAGAGGTGAATCAAGCTTATACTAAGCCACTTCCTGGATGTACTCTTTTGTCCCTGCTGTCTTTCCATTTTCTTCTACTTGATTTTGCTTCATGACTTCTACCTTGACTTCTCTCTGCCATCTCCCTTAACTTCTCCTTTTTGCTAGCCCCCATTCTTTCTCATCCATTCTCTGTGTCATACAACATATTGGAATTATTAAATCAAACATTTAAAGCCCCAGAAGAGCAGGTGAGCTTTACAAAAGGCAAACATTCAGGAAACTCAGGAAACACTTCATATTTGCATAACCAAACTGTTAACTGTTATATATAGAGAAATGCTTGGGGGCCCTTGTGACTAATACAAACCTGACCAAAGCCATTCAAAGTCATGGGAGGTTTTCCATTTATTTTGAGAAATTTTGAATCAAGGCAGCTGCAACCAGTGTTCAGTTCAGTCCCAGTATCTGTATTATGA